TAAACTATTAAAAATGTTTTAAAAAAAAGCTTGCAGCAATGCAGGAAGCATTTATTCAGGAAAATCAGATGAATCCCAATAAAACAACAAACTGTATGGCATTATAATTTGCCTTATTCCCATCCCCTCTCCTCCAGCTGTGGTAGCTATGAAGACCAACAGGCCATAATCAGGGTGGAAAACAGCATCAAGGAAGCCATCAGAGAGGACAGAAAATGAGTGGAGTGCCTTCAAAGCCTCATTCCCAGAGAACTGTCATTATTTGACCTGTCTGATGGTTCTCTAAAATATCCCACTTGCAAAGATGTCTGTGTTTGTCCTGACTGGAGCTCAGTGAGTACAAAAAGGCTTTTCCTCAGGCGAATCTGTCAAAAACAATTAAAGGAAATTATTTAACCTTGTGGCTACCTGAGCCAATGGAAAACAGCTGGGGCAAACAAGAGGCTAGCAAAAAAGCCTAAAAAGGAAAGCTGGGCAGCGAGATGTCCATAAGAGCTCCAACATATTCCTAGGAGTCTAGAAGGCCATGCACATGCATAAGGTTGTGCCCATGTCCAGGGCTACGTGCACGTTCAGGAAGGAACTGAAAAAGCTTTAACTTCTCACCTCAGGCTGATTTAGGCTCTGTAGAAGCAGGAATTGAAAACCAAAGTAAAACTGACAACTGCATGGCTGAGTGTTCAAGGCATGCCTCAACATTTACACAGAGCTCTTTAGCAAAGACTGGGATACTAACTTGTTCCAGATATTTAAGAAAATCACTGTCCACTCATTAGCTGACCACTGTGCAAAGCAAGCAGAGACTTCAGTGGCCATAAACAACAAAAAACATAGTTTTTATAGAATTAGTTCAGGAGTCACTAAACAAACAATAACAATGGCAAACAGCAACAAAGAACAAATCTTGAGGACAGGGAAAGAATGTTATTTCCAGAGCTGCCACATTATATTTTCAACAAAAAACTGTGAGACATGCAATGAAACAAGAAAGTATGGTCCCTATACAGGAAATTAAGTTTTAGAAGTCTTTAAAAAACCAATCCATTCTTTTTAATAGCTGCTAAGTATCCTATGGTATGGACACTTGGGTTTTTTCCCATCTTTTGCTATTACAAATGATACTATAATCCACACACGTCATCTCATACATTTTCAAATATATCAGCTGGATAATTTCCTACAAGTGGAACTTCTGAGGCAAAGGCTATGTGAAATTTTACTTTTGATAGATATTGCCAAATTCCTGTTAAAAGCTTATATCATTCGACATTCCACCAGCGATATATGAGAGATCAAACACAGTGTTACAATTGCTTCTTACCTTTACCAATCTAATAGGTGAAAAAATGGCATTTCAGTGCAGTTTTAATCTGCTTTACTCTTATTATAAGTGAGGCCGAATATCTTTTCATATGTTTAAAGAGGTACTGTTCTGGCTTTTCTGTGAACTGCCACTTCATATCCTTTGCCAGCTTTCTTTTGGGTTGCTGGCTTTTACTGATTTACAACAGTTCTTCATATATTAAGAAAATTAACCTCTACTTATGACATGAATTACAATTATTTTACTTGCCTTTTGACTTTACTTATGGTGTTTTTTCTCCCAAGAAGTTTTTATGTACCTGAATTTATCAATCTTGGCTTTTATGGGTTTTGTATGGTATTTAGAAAGACTCTTTCAACTCTAATATTATTTTTTAAATCATAGATTAGATGTCATCATCAGAAAAAGCTGAGTAGAGGCTACATGGAAGTTCTCTGTACTATTTTTGCAACTTCTTTGTGAGTCTAAAACTATTTCCACAATGGACTGATGTATGATAAAACAAGTACAGTACAATGTTAATTGTAGAATCTAGGCCGTGTGTATAAGTGTCCAACTATACAACTGACTTTTCTGATGTCTGAAATTTTTATAGTAATATAGTGAGAAAAAGCTCCAAATATTTCTCCTAGTAATTTTATAGTATCATTTTTTACATTCAAGTTTTTGTTTGAGTTGGAACTTATTTTGGTACAGAGTTAAATTTTTTTGTTTTGTTTTCATTGCTTAAGTTATACAAATAAAACCTGATTTGCTGGATTGGACAAAATTACCATTTTAAACCAATATGCCTTTCACCTGGCTTTATGACTTCATTTATAAAATTTAAGTCTTTAATGTGTCTGGAATTTATTCTTTTACATGCTACTAGGTAGAAATCATAGTATATTTTAAAATTTGGTTTTCTTTTGTTCATTCAAACCCAATCCTTGTTTTATGGTTCTTAATAGAGGTATGACAATTATCTTTTACAGTCCATGCTTGATAGCCACCATTAAGTTACATCTTATCCTTGCATTTTCCAGTTTCCTTAATTTTCATTTTATGTCTTATTTGATCAACATTTAATTATCTTTGGAACTCTTTTCTGATTCCTCACCAAGTTATTCTTGGAAATCACGCAAGAATTCTTACTTACAATAAGTTCCAAAACACCATCCCCTTCATCGGCATTTTCTATCACAGTAGCTCCAAATCCAAGCTCTCGGATGAACTCAGCTATCATTGGGGGTTCTATAACAGCAGGGTTATATCTTACTTCTGCCTTGCCAGCCATCAGAGCCACAAGCACAGAATGTATTCCTAGAAACATTGATAAGAAAAAAAAAATTCAGATAACATTCTTCATAAAAAGAATAATCTTTTAACAGTTTTAGTAGTTTTTTTAATTGTGAAAGGATTAAAGTGAATCTGAAGAAATTTATCAACTTTTTAAAAAATTTTGCTTGTGTTTATTTGTTTTGAGGAGGAAGTAAATAGGTTTATTTGTTTATTTAATGGAGGCACTGGGGACTGAACCAAAGAGAGAACAGCAGAATAAATTTGATGAACTCAGCTCTCAGCTTCAACAATTATCAATAATACTGGGCTGATCTTGTTTCATATGTATTCCTAACTACTCACTCCCTGCCCGTGAAGCAAATCCCAGACATCATATCATTTCATATGCAAATATTTAAATACATATCTCTAAACAATATTTAAATCATATCTCTAAACAATAAAGACTCTTCCCTTTTAAAAAATAACTATAATACCATTCTCAAACCTAAAATAATTCCTCAATATCATCAAATATCCAGGCAGTATTCACATTTCCACAACTGTCTTACAACTCCTTATTTAACACTGTTTGTTTGAACTGGGATCTAAATAAGGCTCCTGAATTGCAATCGGTTGAGACCTTATAGTGAGAATATAAAGTATTTTTACAAACTCAGAAGACAGAGTCCTAGAGAAAGGAACTCGTACACTTAGAAAGTCACTGCACTTGTAGCAAAGAATCTAAGAATGTACCAACATATACATTATAATATTATCAAATAATAGTCATTCTCTCTCAAGTTTTACTGTCTGGCACACAGTAATCTGAGATGCTCTTATTCCTAGAAAAAAAATGTGCCACACAACTTAACAAAGGAGTTCATTTTATAAACTGCTGTTCTCTGGTGTAAGCATTTTGTTAATAACCATCCCACTTCTCTGTGTCAGCTATTAATTACTCTCATTTCCAAGAAAAAAATAAATTCTGCATAGCAGGAATGACAGTTCTTTCTAGGAATCTGTGGCTCTTGGTGGCTATCAGATAGGGAATAGGGATCAAAAGTCCACAGGTCAGCTCTGGGATTTGATAAAAAAATCACAAATATTAATTTAATAGTTTTTAATAAGAAAACAAAGTATCTAATATAATCTAAGCTTTCTATATAAGTGGCTACACTCTGGACTTTGTGGGTACCAAATGATTTTGAGGATTGGATCATGAGAAAGTGTCAGTAATAAGTGTCAGGAGGGTATAGAGAAAGTAGAAAAATCTTTCTGCTTCAGTTGAATGTAATCTATAGCAAAAGAGAAATACAAAGAAAATCTGGTTTTTCAAGTTTTAAAAATACTTTTCATATTTATATAAATTATGGATAATTTTTAAATTCTTACTGTAAACTATAATTAGAAGTCTTTCTATTCATTTTTAGAAATATAACAGACAAAACTGAGGGAAGACCAGTGCCACTTAGTTTTTAAAAAAAGTGAATGTAGTGAGTGACTCCACATAGGCCAATGGTATTTCTAATCGGATTAAGAGGTGGTAAAGGGGTAGTATAAAGTAATTGGAAGAATCAGCTTAATGGATTAAAAAAAAAACGATCTGTAATTGGCATAGGCATTCTTTCATGAGAAAGGCTATTTCTGAATTGCCCAAAAATAGTTTGTTCTAAAACTAAAAAGGAACCTTGCAAACTCCTTTTTGCCTTCATTTGCTTGCAACCTCCCTCCTGTTCTTTTTTATTCACTTAAAGTATAAGCTTTAGCCTTGACTGCATTCTAATTAAATATACAGCAGGCTGAAATGAAGGATGCAGAAATGACAGAATGTGGAGAAGATAATACTGAACTGAAGATGTTCTGTATAACATACATTTAGTTACAGTAATGTTCTGGCCTTTATATCTAGGGTGATTCTACTGGCCACAGGCCTGCATTATTACTCTATATACTTTGAGTTATTTCCCCAATAGTGGGGATAAGCTTATACTAATCATATTTATTTGGCCCTTGTGACTAACAGCATGTATCATTAATATACCTAGGGCTCGGGCTGCCTAAGTACCAACCCATGACTTCAGGCTTATTAAAAATAATCACATATCTCTATGGTTAACACTTCTACTATGCCATACTGTTAAGTCCATTAATGTGAGTGCAAAATTGTAAGCTAAAATACCTGAGTGTGACTGAATACATAACTATATGTATTATAGATTTTCTAAGATTTTGTAACCTCAGTTAAAACTTGTACACAACATTAAGTAAATTTTGAATAATCACTGCAAACAAAAATCAGTGATCAAACTCTTGGAAGAGAAGAATATAATTCTAAACAAACTTGGTATTGGTCCGGTGCTTGGTATGGGTATAGTAATATTGAAACTTACGGATTCTAGTTGTCAGTTTTACACATAGCTTTATCAGAAAATTTACATTTCTTAAAGTCCATTACAGCCAAGGTCCATAAAGAATAGTAATCTTATGTATTTCCTTCTGCCATTTGACTACAAATTTCACTGATATTAAAAAGTGACCATGAGGTAAACAAGACAGGAACTATAAGGGAACAAAACACTAACAAAAACTGGCTGTCAGGAAGTCAAGGTTGTCCTGCACATCACTGATAGTCTTTATGAAGCCTTGGCAAGAATCATAAACATGGTTACAAAATACATAAGAGGACAAAAAGGACAGAGTCCTCACACCAGTACATGAAATAACAGGCTTTAAGAGTGTCTTACCTTCTTCTCGTCTTAAATTTCGTTCAATGTTTGCTACACAGGAAGCACAAGTCATACCAGTGACCTGTATGTAACACTTAGATGAAGTCTTTGCCTCCTCCTTGTCGTGAACTGGTGTCATCATTTTGGTATGAAATTCATTAGTTGCAGTCAAAAGTGGCATTTCTGATGAGGACTGAGCTATTACTACCAACGGCTCATTTGTATCTGGTAGACAGGGAAAGATTCTTTTCATTTGAGGTATTCTTCAGTTGCATCCTTGTCATTCATCACAATCCACACTTCCAGGCACTGTCAATCCACTCCTTTAAAACCAGCATGGACCTAGAGCCCTGAGCAATGTTACCTTTACACTTTCCAGGAAGTGACTTCCAATTTAAATACTGTCCCCTCAGTCAGTTCCCAGGGAAATCTGAACTAACTGAATATACGTTATATCAAGTTTTCCAGCCATTATTTCCACCCCAAATCCCAGGTAGACAGTAGTTTGTTACTACATAGCTCTTATTTTTATAATGAATTTTTATCATCATATTAACGATTTACATACTGGCATTAAAGCAATTCGTGATATAGTACATGGAATAAAAAGCAATTAACAAAACAGCACCGCAGTATAATGTCTTTTAAAAATTGTTAGAGTGTATATATGAGAAATGTATCAAAAAGCCTAGGAGAGTACATACCAAATCATTAATAGGGGCTACTTCTGGGGAATGGGGTTAAGGCAGGAATAGAAAAACAGACAGATGAACAAATTTCCTCTATAGACACTTCTCTGTATGTTTGAATTTTTAACACTAATCTATAGTATTTTTAAAATTAAAATGTCTCTGTGGACAATGGAAGAAGAGGCAAGGAGTAAGTCAGCAGTAATCTTCATTTTCCACAAAGGAATATGAAGAAAATATCTCTGCAGAATGTTTATGGACTGTGGAACAGTGGAAAGCTTCTGCATCCCAGAAGCTCCCTGGCAGTCTCAGAAAATTTGCTATTTTGTTTTAGTTTATCCACTGCAGTATTAATCATCTCCCAAGAAGAGAGAAATTATTCCTTTTAGCACATCCACACACCTGCAAAATAGCTAAGGATTTTCTACTCTTCTGAAGAAATAAGGATGAAAAGAAGCAGAAATTTCTACTAACCTATCTAACTTGTAATTTATTCCCGTTGGGCAAAAAACTGGTTCAGGTTTATTTGGCTAGCCCACAGAGAAAACCCTGCACATAGGTGAGCTGGCTTTCAGAATGCTGAACAAAGGCATCTTTTAAAGGAACTTCAACAAAAGCCTCATTATTTCCCTAAAGAATAATGATCTACACTTCTCAAATCAGTTATAATAATGGCTCGAATTTTAACGCACGTACAATCATTTGGGGGATCTTGTTAAAATGCAAATTATGAGTCAGTACATTTAGGGTGGGGCCTGAGATTCTACTTTTCCAATAAGCTCGCAGGTAATGGCAGTGATGCCAGTCTGGGTATAGCAAAGGATAGTTTGAATAGCAAAGGACTATATTCTCCCAGTTCCAAAATTAGTCAGTCTCTGGTCTTAAGTGAATCACTTTAAAAAAACTACATTTATTCATTCAGATTACAAGAGCATTATTTAGAACAAAGAGGGCAAAATTTACTAAACAGTATCATTATCTTAACTCAAAAAGGAGGCTCCTTTGCCCAAAGAAAATAGCTTTGGCTCTGAAAAAAACCTTATTTTTATCTAAGCAGGAGCTTATCCATTCTCTCACAATTACTATCAAGACTTAATTTTGAATTTGGACAATGAAAAAAGTTTACACTACCAATTACTGTAAGTCTTGTTCCAGAGTAATTTAGTGATTTCAGGTAACAGAAGTAACCACAATGCCGTCTGCAACTTTCTCACAATAGAAGTACAGTATTAAGTTAAGTCATAGAGGCAATCCCTTTTAGCTACATTGGCATGACTTTTCAACAAAAATTCACAAAATTGTGATGTTTACCCCAGCAAGTGTGGCAAAAAGAGCAAAAGCTTCCATCTTCCACAGAGGCGGTGAAGGTGTTAAAAAGCCACAATGAATTAAATGGCTAGTTTTCTTAAGTTAGCTTTTCTATACACTGTAGCAACACTATTTATGCTTAAATGAATTCAAAAGGAAGGCTGACTTCCCTGCACTTGAGGCAACAATCGGAAAAGAGTCCAAAAATTTCAAGAAAGGGTTTCCAATCTGATCCTCAAAACTGGTAGGTTCAGTGTCTAAAGTAATGTGAAGAATAAATACATAATCAGAAAATGGCTTAAGATAATTATAAATATCATGTCTGCAACTTACTTTCAAATGATTCAGAAAAAGATATATATGGGAAAAGATATATATGTGTGTAATGTGTGTTTGAATATATGTCTGTCTGTCGATAAAGAGAATGATAAAACAAATGTTGCAAAGTATTAACCACCAGGGAATCTGAAGGAAATTGGTAAACAGAAATTCTTTGTACTATTCTTGTAGCTTTTCTGTAAGTTTGAAATTAAAGATAAAAAGTTACACAAAAGGAAAGGAATTTCATTGAGCATTTTGTTTGCTTTAATTGGTTAGTGAAGACTTAACTTCATACATTATATGTCTTTTCAAGAGAATGATGAGATTGAAGGTCAGGACAAAAAGCACCTCCCATTTTTCTCACTACTTCCTTTAACATTTATGGCCCACCTAGGACTAGTATGACATGAAAGTGAAATGCAGAGTAATAGACTGTGAAGCCTGGATCAGCACTAACACTGGCATTCAGAAAATGGGTAGCCACAATTCTGGGGGCACTGTAAAGTCTGATTGATTTCTAGCAGAAACACAGAATGCAGTCATTTGATATCAACCTTTTATCCCAATTATGGGTTACTGCAGTCACAACTCATCAATTATTTTATGGTCACATTCACTGTGCCAAGGTTTTTTGCCTATTCATCATGGCCATTAATGTGTTTATGATAAGCCCTAACAGATGTGGGATGCATATCCTGGTAATTATCTGCTGAATAATTGATTCCTGAGGCCCTTGACAATAGTAGGTTGAGGTAAAAGCTATTGTTAAAAGTTACTGAACATGTCAACATTCATGGTTCTTGAGGACTAGGTAGATAATAAACATGGTGCCAGAGACTATCAAGTATTCTTGAATTCCACTTACTAGATTGATCAGAATTTCTCCTATTGTTTAAATGAGTCCATCTTTGAAGCCACCTAAGGTAACTGGAAAGTTGCTTTTGCTCTGTTCACATTGGTTACATAAAACCTCATAAATACTAGCTATTTTAATTATATTACTTAATATTATATTATTGTTAAATGAACAATGTTAAAATAGATATAACTCAGAGATTTTAATCATAGAAGTCAAAGCAGCAAAATATTTAGACCAGTGCTTCTCAAACTTTAATGTGCATCTGAATTACCTAGGGTGCTTATTAAAATTAAAATGTAGATTTTTATTTAATGCAACTGCAATGGGTCAGAGAATTTATATTTCTAACTAGCTCCCAAGTGATGCTGCTGTTGCTGATCTGTGAACCATACTTTCAGTTGCAAAAATAAAGACCCAAGAGAATAGGACAAATTTCATTTGGGGGTCAGTCTGAGGTCCTTGCTTACAGTAATAACAGATACCAGATTTGACCATGAAAATATTTCAGTTTTATACCATATGTGGTGTGATTTGATATGATTCCTATATGTAGGAGGCATAAGAATATCACAATATGGGGGGAGGGTATAGCTCAGTGGTAGAGTGTGTGCCTAGCATGCACGAGATCTTGGGTTAAATCCCCAGTACCTCCATTAATAAATAAATAAATAAACTTAATTTCCCCCAATAAAAGATTTTTAAAAAGAATATCACAATATAAGTAACCTCTCTGACTGACACTGATGTAAAGTAAACTTGGTTATGTAGTGTCCATCATTGACACACAGTGCATTATGTATACCAAAGTATTTTAATTTAATAGAAACTCTGAGGAATAATTATGAATTAGTGAAATGCAAATTAATATAATTACAAATATTGTCACTTTTTGAAAAGTTTTTAAATTGTAAACAATAATAGATGCAACTAAAATTTTGCTGAAATCAATTTTAGTAATTTTTTATGGCTACCTGATGGAAGTTTCACTTCTAATATCTTCAATTTAAATTTTTCTTCTGGTTTCATAATTATTTCCTTTTGCAATTATGGATTTTATACACTTTCTTCAGACTTTTAATACTGGAGGTTCTTTGACATTTTTGTATTCTGTACGAGTTTTCTAATAGGGAATTGTATATTTCTTTTTTAAAGCACAAGAACCTTAGTCTTTAGAGATTTTATTTTATTAATGTGAGAATTCTAGGTGAGAATGTAAAATGGTGCAGCCATTTTGGAAAACAGTTCAGCAGTTCCTGAAAACATTAAACATATTCACCATATGACCTAGAAATTCCACTCCTAGACGTATACCCAGGAGAAATAAAAACATATATTCATGCAAAAACTTGCAACAAATGCTCATAGCAGCATCATTTATGATAGTAGAGCAGTGGAAACAACCCAAATTTCCATCAAATGACAGAGAAACAAAATAAGGTATACACATACAATGGAATACTATTCAGCAATAAAAAGAAATGAAGTACTGATACATGTCACAAACATGGATGAACATTTGTTACCTTGAAAACATTATGCTAAGTGAAAGAAGAGATACAAAAGGACAGATATTCTGACTCCACTTACATGGTGCTTAGAGTTGTCAAATTCATAAAGACAAAATACAACAGTAAATAACAGGGGCTGGGGGAAGGGAAGGGGAAATGGGGAATGACTGCCAGCCAGTATGGGGTTTCTTTGTGGGGGCTGATGAAAATGTTCTTAAATTATACAGTGGTAATGGCTGCAAAACTCGGTGAATATACTAACACCCACTGGATTATGTACTTTAAAAGGGTGAATTTCACGGTATATGAACAACACCTTGACTTAAAGAAGTGAGAATTCCACAATTTCTACCATTTGTCATGAATATGAAAATTAAGAATGTTTATGTCTCTGGGTCCTCCTCCACTGACACTTATCTACCATAAAAATTTGAACATGTGTTTAATTTTTTTGTTTCTCAATTTTAGTGAGCTTGAAAAGAGAATATTGCTGTTCAATATCCTTCATTCTGATCAAAGACTGTAGTCTATGCCTAGTTCTACAGTCAGTTTAATTTAAATGGCTAAATTAAAAACTATGGTTAAAATTCTATTATTTTTTCTACCTTCTTTCTTTTTAAAATAATGTTTGCTTCTCCTGTTTTATATATATATATATATATAAATACAAACAAACAAACATGCATACACAAAAAAACTTAAAATACAGAAAGCACAGTGAAAACTAATTGTCATCTTATCTTACCACTCACAAATAACTACTGTTAAAATTTGGTTCATGCCCTATCAGGAATTTTATTCACTCATATACATAAATAACACATACATGGTATAAATCCTTATATGTGTTTATAAAATTTTGATCATACTGAATATAGAGCTTTTTAGCTTTTTTTTGTTCATTTAACAAAATATCTCAGACACTTTCCTGTGATCATTAAGTATCTTTAATATCATAATTTTTTATGGCTTCATAGCATTTCATCATATGGAGGTATCATTATTTATTTAATGTTTCTAGTTTTAAAATATTGTAAATAATTAAGCAAACATCCTTATGCATCTTTGTATACATTGCTGACTACCTCTGTATGTCTTATTTCCAAAAAGTGGAACTGCAGTGCCTATTACTCATTTCTCATTGATAAAAGCCAAAGAATTAGCAAGGTGTAGATAAAAGAAAAAAGTGATAATTACCTGAAAAAGAGGCATCAAATCCCATGTCTTCTATTGCTTGTCTCAAGGTTTCTGGAGAGGTTAGTAAAGGATCATACTCAATAGTTCCATTGCCATTTGCAAGGGATACTCGTATGGATTTTACACCTGGCTTTTTTGATATCACACCCTCAATAGACTGCACGCAAGAATTACAAGTCATGCCATCAATGTTTATCACGGTTTCTTGAGTCAGAGGCTGGCTAACTACATTCAAAGGACTCTTTTGAAGAGATGAGCTGGAGGGAGAGTTTGGGATACTCTCAATTTCACTTATACTACTAATTCTATATTGCCCTGGTGATATGGCCTCTATTGCTTTTCTCAGAGTTTCTGGAGTGACTAAACTTGCATTGTACTTTACTATAGCAGATCTATTCTCTAAAGAAACTACTATGCTGTTTACATATTGGAGGGTAGATAACGCACTTTCAATATTTGACACACATGATTTACAATGCATGCCCTCTATGATGAAAATGACTGTTGAATTATTGGTATGTGAGGGACTCCTTTGCTGTGATCCTTCTGAGGATTTGACTGGTGTGTTCTTTAGCCGTTCAATATCAATAGCTCCCAATTTGAGGTACTTCGGCTGTTTTTTGATGAATGCTGGAAAGCCCACAGCTTCAATCTGTTTTTTTATTTCCTCTACTGTAATAAGATGAGGTTGATAAACAATAGTAGCTTCTTGGTTGTCCAGGGAAACTAGTTAACAGAAAGAAAATAATTATTTAATTAAGTTATTCCTGGGCCAGCAGAAAACATGCTGTAGACAAAATCAATACCACCCATAATTATTTCTCTCTCATTGTTGTCATAATCCCTTCTTAAAATAATTCTGTTCTTTCCAGAAAATGTTATTGATACAGACTGGAAAAAAGTAAAAGATGTGCCCTCTATATCTGTGGCCTCCAAGTTTCTGCATGTCTGAACAGAAACATATTAGAGGTAAAGTGGACACCAGGCATGCTAAGAACCCTGAACTCCATGAATCACCATACTTGCAGTCTTTTCTGCTAGCTCAAGATTTGTGTAACTTTTAATTATAATCATTAACTTTACTGACATTAATCCTAGTAATACGCTGTACCTCAGACTTCAGTGAAGCAGTAACCTTCTAGTCCCCCAGATTCAAAAGGCATGCTTAAGAAAAATGCAAAAGTGAAAAGGATAAAATAGAAAATTAAGGCTTACAATACAATCAAACAAACAATATCAGACATTACCTTTAATTCGCTGAACACCTTGCAATTTCCCAATTTTTCCTTCAATGGTGCTAGTACACGAATGGCAGGTCATCCCTTCCACTTTCATCTTCAGCATGACTTCACCTGCCTGAGCCATACTGTAATCTTCACAAGTTTCTGACTTCTTCTGAGTTCCAGTATCCAAACTGAGATCCGGAACTAGCTCTATTATCTGATTGGCATTCACTATAGAAGGGATTATTCTCACCACTGCAGTTCTCTGCTGAGGAGAAATTTTAACGTCTGTCACACCCTTGGTCTTGAGTAATGTGCTTTGGATATGGTCCCATGGAGGAGCCAGTGAAGCAGTAACAGTCAAAAACACGGTCTCAGTTAAAACAGGGAGAGGCTTAGGATTGTGGAGAATAGCATCAAAGCCCATGTCATCGATAGCTTCCTGTAGGGTCTTTGGAGTTTGTAGTTTAGGGTCATAAACAATAGTTGCATTTTTTTCTTCCAGTGAAACCTTTCAGAAGGAAATTTCAAAAGTCAGTTTAATTAATTACATGACATGGAACTTAAAAATAGCAATCAACACACCACATTCAAGAAGAATGAAACAAATAAGTCGAGTTTCTCTATTAGTTCTCATCTTTACTATTCTCTTTGGAAGGAAACACAAAAACATCTTGTGCACCTACAGGAATGTAAAGCTATAGGTAGGTGTACGTGACTCAGGTACTGATCAGACATTTGATGCATAGACTAACACACTCTAGAATTGCACAATACAGTACAAACTACTCTCTCCTACCATCTCCTTTCACAAATTACTCCAACACTTTACACTCTACCAATTCAAAAGGTAATATGAGAAACAGGATCAGCTATAGAAAACAAAAGGCAATATGAAGTTTAAACTTTTCAAATGTTCAATTAAGATTACTTTGTTGGCAAGAAAAGGTATAAACATGCTAGTTTATGAAGGCAGTACGATTTTGTAGCAAATATTCCTATATTCTTCCAAGTCACTATGGTCTAGTATTACTTTTGTTCAAAATAAGAACATCTCTACTGTTTTACCTGATTTGATTATTAAAAAAAACAAAAAACAATGATTGTATTCTTAAAGCTCAGCAACTGTATATAATTTAACTACTACCAGGACATCTTACTATGCATGTCTTTGGTTAACATGTTACAAAGATTATGATGTAGTCACACACACACACACACACACACACACACACAAACTGGGTTGGGAGTCAGAAGATTTGAGTTCCAGTTACTGATCAACTACACTCATTACTTCTACCATCTGAAAGATGAACAAATGTGCCCTATTATCTTCCAGGGTTGTTATAAAGGATCATATGAGTAAATAGACAGGAAAGTAGTTCTTTGCAGCAGCAAGTTATATAAAAGTAAACACTGAACAACTAATATTTATCAAGCACATATTATATGTGCCAGGAACTGGGATTCTCTGGATACAAAAATGATCATGACGCAGTTCCAGTGAGCAATACTAGAACAGAGAAAAAACAGACACTTATTTATCCCTGGGAATGTGTGTCAAAAAGGCTTCTTGAGGGTGATAATACCTGAATATTAAAGGTAAAACAGAATTCAGCAAGGATATATGAGGCAGAGAATTCCTGACAAATGAAAACACAAAAGTAGAGAAAGATGACAGGTTGGGGAATTAGGCAACTGCCTTGTGGGGCTTCCTGTATGCCAATAATGATCTGTAATTTATCCTACAGGTAATAGAGGGCCATGGAAAAGTTAAGCAGGGGAATGGTATGATTATATTTGCATCTTGGAGAAGAATCATTTTGGACGCACTGTGGAAGAGGGTGCTGGGGTAGAGTGGAGTGACACAGGAGGACAAGAGATTAGCTAGGAGTCTACTGCAATTGCAATAGTGGTACAATAGAAGGTCTGAATTAAGGCCTGATCACTGAGGATGAAGGGAAAGAGGGCAGTTCTGAGATAAATTTAGGAGGGTAAGACCTACTAAGGAGATTACAGAGAGCAAAGGAGATTACTAGGATGACTTACAGGTTTCTGGTTTGGGCCAGTGGGGAGATGGTAGTGCCATTAACTGATATCAGAGAGGGAAGAGAAAAACTGGAGGAAATTAAGAGGTTGGAGTGGAGGGAAAAGAAAGATGATGAATTTAGTTTTAGACTTCTTGATTTTGAGAGGCAGTAGGGTATTAATGTTCCAAAGGCACTTAAAATATGAGTATTGTTGTTCTTGTTAAAGATTCCTAGTGAAAAGCTTTGTTCCACAAAATAAAAATAACTCCAAAATATAATTTAAAATAATTCAGAGTAGGAAATCTCACTTTAAATTGTCCACAGTAGTTATGTAGCTAAATCTTTCACTTATTTTAGTGAACTTCATATTTTTATTTCTTTCTTTAGCTTGGTAATCAATGGCTATGTATTTGGTAAAATCTTGAAATATGCTCATGGCGTGGAAAGTTTCTAAGCCTCTGATAATTCTAGTTGGTCAGACTGCTCTTATTTATGGAAGAGATCACTAGCATAAATGATCCAACACAGAAGTGGGAAAATAATTTATATTTGTTTTGGAATACACTGTATAACATTTTCCCTGAATAAGTTGCAGAATAGCAAAACCACATATAGTTCACTTACATACTTTTGAAAGAGATTCAACATAAATACAGTCACTATAAAATGAAGACTTTTGTGTCTTTGTACCTTTAAAGAGAGTCTCTTTTAAACTTTAATCTCACTCCCCTAAGGTCAATAACTTTCTGATTTGGAAAATTACTTTAAAAAATTTAAACATTCAAACTAAAGGGGAAGATGGAGAGCAGACAAGGGATGGGGAAGGACTGACTATAAAGGGGCAGCACAAGGGAATTTTGGGGGGCTCTGCTGTTCTGGCTGTGGGGGTAGTTAATGAATCTATACATGTATTGAAATTCACCAAAGCTATTATTTTAAAAATTATCGTGAACTGTGATCCTAACATGCAAAGATAATCAGCATTTATATTTTTGAATATTTCTTTCAAGTCTGTCCCCTCCAGTGTGTGTTCTTGTGTGTGTACATAGTATGTGGTGTGTTTACTTTAGCTTATTTCACAAAATAGGATAACCTGCTTACATACCATTTTATTCTTTTTTACTTGAAATTATATTTGTAGCATTTAACCCTGTCAATTTTTTCAGCAGCATTGTTTTTAATAATAGCATAATAATCTATTTCAAAAAAATTTCCCAAAGCTAAAAAAAACCCCAAAACAAACAAAAATAACTCATAGAACTGTACCCCCCAAAGAAGTCAATTTTATTGTATAATTTTAAAAACAAAAAATTAAAAGATCAAAAATTCAGTTCCTTAATGCAAGCACATTTCAAGTGTTCGATGGCCAGAGTGGCTGTCATCCAGGACAGAATAGATACAGAACATTTCCTTCATTATAGACTGTTCCATTGGACAGTACTGCTCTAAATACTACAATACATTTTCTAATAAAGTGCCAAACTTTAAAAAAAAGGAAGGGGAATTTTTTCCCTTTAGATTTAAATACATTGTATCTGGTATCTCTTATGACCTAGTTTTAAGCTAATCCCCACCCTACCACCCTGCCGCCAAATTTCAATTTACTAACATACTCAACAAGAAATTGCTCTTAAAACTCTTTTTTACAGCAAAACATCATTTTGTCACTAGATGGTTTGCTATACCTTCTACTGCTTTAGCCTGGCTTCTATTTACAAGACATAAAGAAATAAGGAAATTACGTATATAAAATACTATACAAAAAAGTTGTATTATTATCCTATGTTGCTTTTGTGCTGCAGATCAGAAAACACTTCCTTATTTAGTAACTACTATTTGTGAATTTTAAAGCTGGACCAACCACACCTAGCACAAATATGTTCCCCTTTGGGGTAACAGCATTCAACTTTTCCTCTGAATATTAGATATCAAAGAGACTTTTCAAGCCTAAGATCTCAAAGGAAATAAAAACAAGCAGCACTTTTGTCTCTTTTAAGAGGAAATTCACATAGTGATTATCATAGTACAGTTCTGGATGCCAAATCCTTGGGCAGGAAGCTAAAATAGCATTTATTTATTTATCAAATATTTACTGAGTACCTGTTATGTGCCCAGCACTGTGCTAGCTGCTACAGATATAATTATGAGCCCAAACAGGCACAGACTCCATACAGCCAGAAATTGCTGGTGGCAGTCTGATCCTGGATCTGTGCCACTCTCCTTTCACATGATCCCCACCAACACAAACCACCTCTTCCTATTCCCCACATTGCTCCAAAGTTTCAACAGCTTGTCATTTTCTCAGAGTCTTTCATTAGGAATCAATGCTTTTTTTTATTTTCAGAGGAACTATTTTTCTATTATATCAATAGTTCCTCTGAAAATAAATATCTAACAGTCTACAAGTTAGGAATTTGGCTCCTATGAAGGACTGAAGATGGAGGACTATTCACTAAATGTAGATGAAGGCAGGAGTGGAAGAGAAGAAACCAAAACATGCTCTGTGGGCTCAATAGCATGAACAGTGGTGTAGAGGGTGCTAACTGTCCACAGGGATTGCAAAGATCCACTCTTTTAATGTTTACGAAGTTCTTTACTTACTGAAACATCTAAAGTATGAAATTCAAGCATAGCATACTTTATCCGCATGTGATTTCTGTAGCATCATCTATTCTCAAGCAAGAAGGCTAGAACCTTGGACAAATCATCCTAATCAAAGGGCTTCAGTTTCTTGAGAGACTGGATTAGATAAACCTTTTGAGTTCTAACTTTATATAAAAGCTAAAGACTGTGTTACCATCACTTCTTGGGTTGTTATTAGTACATTTTCTTTTTTTGTATTCCTTATCATCTGATAATAAAACGTGATCCAATTTCCTATCTGGAGGCTAGGAAATTGAATAAACTGCCCAAGAAACCCAATGAGAAAATGAAAGAGCCAGGATTCAAATGAAGGTCTGTGTAATGCCAAAGTCCATGCTCTTTCCATCTATAAATGATGAGGTTAGATGATCTTCAATTTCCTTGAAAAACTAAAATTCTATGCCTGAGATTTGAGCAATGTGTGGCTTATAAATAAAAACACCTTAAAAGCATGAGATAGTTCTAGTGTGTGAACCAAATTTTAGTTCTGTGTTTACTTTCCTCCCCTAAATTTCATATCTACTCCCATACCAGTTTAAATTTAAAAATGACTTGGAGAATATATTTCTTTGGGTTTTTAGCAGGATTTGACAATTAATACATTCTAACATTTCTCCATTTTTAAAAGCCACTTTGGGACAGGTCCTTTGCTAAATAAAGTTTTAGCACACTGAAATTCCTTTTTATACCCCTAGGAATTAATTTATATGTCATCACAATAAATTCAGGTTAGCATGCTACTCCCATGTTAGCATGCTACTCACATTTATTTCACAATAAATTCATGGTTAGCATACTCCCAGCCAGTGTGGGAGTCTTCAAATAGTTTAAAGCCCAC